GACACAAGAGCCATGGGGTATCTGCCACGGAAAGCCACGGGAGTGGACCAGCCCAAGAGAAAGAAGTGTGTTGCAGTCAACAAAGCTGAACAGAGTTGGAGATCTGAAGAGGGTTTTGACATCACACATGAGATGCAGAGTCTGGAGTTGGCCCAGCTGGTTTTCAGTCCTGCTTTGGTCCGGTATTTCCTCTGTGTTCCTTTCCCTATGTTTTAGAATGGTAATGTATATTCTGTGTCATTATATGTTGGAATATATGATCTGTTTATTTGATTTTGATTTTACTGGGGATTGCAGTTAAGAGACTGCATGAATCCCAAAAGAGACTTTGAACATAGGACTTTTAGACATTGTTGAGACTGAAATACTATGGGAGTTTTTGAAGTTGGACTGAATATATTTTACATATGATATTGTTTTTTAAGCCTTTGGAGGCCAGGGAGTGGAACGTGGTGGTTTGAAAGAAAACAGTTCCCAAAGGGAGTGGCACTGTTAGGAATATGGTCTTGTTAGAGTAAGAGTGGTCTTGTTGGAGGACGTTTATCACTGTGGAGGCAGGCTTTGAGGTCTCATATATGCTCAAGCCATGCCCAGTGAGACAGACCACTTCCTGTCGTCTGGCTGTCAAGATGTAGAACTCTCAGCTCCTACTCCAGCACCATGTCTGCCTGCACGCCACCATGCTTTCATCAACACTCACCATGATGATAATGGACTAAACCTCTGAACTGTAAGTGAGTCACCACAATTAAATATTTTTAATAGGAGTTGTCATAATTGTCTCTGCACAACTGAAATCCTAAGACTAACAACAGTAAAAACAACAATAATAATAATAATAAATTAATTTAAAAAATAGAGTTTCATCTACTCTTGCTCTACTATGAATAGCTTGATTGGTGAATCAACCATCCATGGCTACCAGTTTCACTAAGATAATAACTTTTTCCTAACTTTCTATACAAGAACAATTAAAAGATTTGTAAATAAAATCTTAACATTAAAAAAATGTGTTTCAGCTGGGCATGTTGGCACATGCCTTTAATCCCAGCACTTGGAAGGCAGAGGCAAGAAGATCTCTTTGAGTTCAAAACCACCTGGTCTACAGAGTGAGTTCCAGGACAGCCAGAGCTACACAGAGAAACCTTGTCTCAAAATAAGATAACAGCAGCCAAAAAATGAATGCTAGTCATTGATAGTAGGAACATGGGAAGAAATTCCAGGAGAAGAGAATCACATAAACTGAGGGACAGAGATAGCCTAAGTCAAGATCAAAAAGTGAGGAGGAGGATCCCAGAGAGAGACTATTTATTTATTTATGGTTGTTTGAGACAAGATTTCCATACACAGTCTAGGCTGTCCTTAAACCTGCCATATAAGCCAGGTTCACTGAACTCAGAATCTTCCAGCCTTAGTCTCCTATGCGCTGGGATCGTAGGCATATACCACCATGCTCTGCTTACATTTTAGAAAGAATCTCACTGTACCACTCCGGCTAGCTCTGACTCCTAAGCCCAAGTGGCTCCTCCACCTTAGCCCCCAGAACAGCTGAAAATACAGATATGTGCTACAGCAGCCTACACAAGCTCATTCTAGATAAACAGTGACCAGCAATGTTCATGAGGCACTATGCCAAAGGCCACTGAAAAACAAAATGGAGAGCTAGAACTCATCGTCACGGGTGAGGCCACTGGTCACACCCTCCCCTCCACCCCATCCCTGCTCCAGTGCCTGGCACATAGTAAGCATTCAGTGACTGTCTGCTGAATGAATGGAGATGACACCTCAGACCTCAGTGTCTATCGAACAGTCACACAGCAAGCCTCGAGATGGCCATTTGACACAGAGAATCTCAACCACACGGCAAACTCTTGAGAGGTAAGTGAAGACCACTTTGTGTGAAGCCTGAGGATTTGATACTGAGTCTTTAGGTAATCCTAAAGACCAGCCAGGCCTGGAGATGACTCACTGGATCGTTCCGTAGGTGAATAAACTAAAGCTTAACAAATAGTAGTGACATGTTCAAGGTCACACGGCTGGGATGAACCATGACACAAGTGTAGATCTCTCAGCAAAACGTCTTTACCAAGGGTCCACCCGACTCTGGAAAACCTGCTATGTAAAAAACAGAGCTCATAGAGCGGAACAGGAGTCTGAGAATTGAAGCCGTGGTGATTTAAAGAAGGCAGCTCCAGAGAGAAAGATGCAATGAGACAGAGTTCAAGTGGGGGGGGGTTTAATTAGGGAAAGGGATCATAAAAAGGGGAAAAGGGAGGGCTGGCCTCCGGGGACAGGAGCAGCAGGAGAGAGAGGAAAGAGAGGCAGAGAAAGAGAGAGAAACAGACAGAGAGAGGGAGAGGAAAGGAAGGAAGGAAGAAAGGAAGGAAGGAGGGAAGGAAGAAAGGAAGAGGGGGAGGGAGGGAGGGAAGGAGAGAGGGAGGGAGGAAGGAGGAGGGGAGAGGGAAGGAAGGGAGGAGGCAGGGAGGAAGGTGGACAAGGCCCTTTCAAGGGGGACGTAGTGAATGCTCAGTGATGATGAGGGTGTACACTGTCAGAACCCCGAAGACAGGTCAGTACAGATGCCTGAATACTAGCAGAAGCCAAGGAGAAGAGTCATCCTGCCAAAAGCCGCAGACACTGTGGAGGATGTGGCATGAGGGGAAGTGGGGACAATGGCCCACAACTCCACGGGCCTGAGTACTGACAGGAAGAGGAAGACACGGCCCTGGTGCTCCCTCAGGAAATCTGCCAGCTGGAAGGAGCCACGAATGGAGGTGGCCAAGATAACTTCCCGCAGGACAGTCCTGCGTTTACATTATTAAACCAAAGCCCTGGGCTAGAGCAGGATGCCCAGAGAGGGAGGCAGAAAATCCAGGGGGGAAGTTTAAGTAAGCTGTTATAAAGTGCAGACCAGAGCCCACCCTGAATCCCTCAAGAGCACTCCCCGCTGCTGGGTTTTAAGTCCTCTGCCTCACTTCCTTCTGTTCTGTGTGCATCTGTATCCTTGGGGGCACTGCTTTTATTGAAGGACGGAAAGGAAGGAAAAGCATGGTTCCAGTAGTCTCAGGAAGCATGAGTGGAGTGAGACTAGGGGACTAGGCTGCAAAGGAAACTCTCACTATGTTTCCACTTTCTGCAGCCCTGCAGGCCAGGCTGCACCACAATCAGGGCCACGCAGCATCTAGGAGCCTGTGCGAAATGGTTCCCCACCATCTTCCAATCCTGCCCCTGCCATCTGTGCTGGATGTGAAGCCTATCCCACCTGGGAAAAAATGGCGATGATGCTGCAGAGATGTCTCAGTAGTCAAGAGCACTGGCTGCTCTTCCAGGACCCAGGTGCAATCCCCAGCTCCCACATGGTGGCTCACAACTGTCCATAACTCCAGTTCCAGGGGATCTGACGCCCTCTTCTGGCCTCCAAGGGTACCAGGAACGTAAGTGCACGTGCATACACACGCATATGTTTTAAAATGCTGATGACAAGGAACCCCTCATCCAGAAGCAGATTAAAAAACGCAACCATGTACATTGAGTCCGCCTCCCACCACCCCAGAGGGGCAGGTGCTGTGACTCTCACACAGTAAGTGAAAAGATCACAACTCAAACCCATTCCCCTAAGACAGGAATGACAGCCATCTTGAAAAAAATGGCCAGGGCAGCAGAATGAGAAACCTCTCTCAAACAAACAAACAAAAGTTTGGAATCCCGAACTGCAAAACAAAAAGCTTTCACACTCCCCCGAGTGGGGCCATAGCCTGGAAGGTAAACAGAGGCAATCTGTGCTTCCTCTTTCAGACTCTTTGTCCTTACTGTGCGGTGAGGGAAGCCAGTTCGGCCAGCAGGGCTCTTGTACCTCATTCCTGGAATCTTTGGCTCAAAGACTAATCTCCACAGAAAACGGTCTCTCCTGTCTAACTCAGAATGGAGACGACGTAACTGAGTTAAGAACCGCGACTCTGCAAGGTGATGGGGACTGTGGGGACAGCCCGCTTAGACAAAGGGCGCCCCACTGCCACCCACCACAGTCATCCTAACTCCCGTTTTCAAGAGAGGTGGGGGAAGGGAAGGAGGCTCTAAAAAGTCAAAAATCAATCCCGTTTCACTGCAGATGAAACCTCCTGGCTAAAAACCCATTTTTGAAACGTTTTAAAACCTAATGTGTTTCTGTTTGCTGGTTGTTGTTTCGTTTGAATAAACCAAAGCCTGTACCCTCCTTTCTTCCAGCCTGCGGTCCTGGCATGCACCATCTTTAGAGGCCTAGAGATGGACCCTGCCAAATCTCCGCGCTTTGTCCTTTTCCAGGCCTGGCCCCTTTCCCTCCCTGTAGCCCTTTGCACCCTAGGGAACGCGGGCTCGTGTTCTTCACCGGACGACCCGGGAGCATCTCAAGCTTCCTGCGAATCCCCCCATCTCCCGGGGCTGAGGAGCTGAGGGATGCTCTCTGAAGTGGACCTGCTTTCCCCGGTGAGCACCAGGAGACCCCCCACGACAGGAGATAAAGGGATGCCCGCTCTCCCTGGGGGCGGGCGGGGGAGGGAAAGCAGGACCTCACCCTTGAGAACTCTGGGGTGCCTATGAGAGTGAAGGACACCTTTCAGAAAACCTGCTCTCCACGAGGGATGAAGGCAAAAGGAAGGACAGGCTATGAAGCCCCCGAGAGCTGCGTGCTCTCCGGCTGGGAAGTCCAAGTTGTTTGGACGCCCCCTCCCTCCGGCCTTTCCCAAGGCAGGTTCTTGGGGGCACAGGCCCTGCGGACAGGGAGGGGCTCTCACGGCCCAGGTCGGTGGCGCGCAGCTGCGGTGACACTGCGCTTCCCCGCCCCCGCAGGCCCCCCTTCCTCTCCCCGCTAGATCGGGAGATGAAGCTCCGCCTCTGGCGCATCGCCCCAGCCCCGCGCCTTAAAAGCCCCGCACACCGCCCCGCCGCGCCCAGCCTCACCGCACCTTCGCGTCCTCGCTAGGTCCCGCCACAGCCGTGCGCCCGGTCCCGACCCCGGCACCATGAGCTTCGGATCGGAGCACTACTTGTGCTCCGCCTCCTCCTACCGCAAGGTGTTCGGGGACGGCTCGCGCCTGTCCACGCGCCTCTCCGGGCCGGGAGGCTCAGGCGGCTTCCGCTCGCAGTCGCTGTCCCGCAGCAATGTGGCCTCCACGGGCGCCTGCTCCTCGGCCTCGTCTCTCGGCCTGGGCCTGGCCTACCGCCGGCTCCCCGCGTCCGACGGGCTGGACCTGAGCCAAGCGGCGGCGCGCACCAACGAGTACAAGATCATCCGCACGAACGAGAAGGAGCAGCTGCAGGGCCTCAACGACCGCTTCGCCGTGTTCATCGAGAAGGTGCACCAGCTGGAGACGCAGAACCGCGCGCTCGAGGCCGAGCTGGCGGCGCTGCGACAGCGCCACGCCGAGCCGTCGCGCGTCGGCGAGCTCTTCCAGCGCGAGCTGCGCGAGCTGCGCGCGCAGCTGGAGGAGGCGAGCTCGGCGCGCGCGCAGGCCCTGCTGGAGCGCGACGGCCTGGCCGAGGAGGTGCAGCGGCTGCGGGCGCGCTGCGAGGAGGAGAGCCGCGGACGCGAGGGCGCCGAGCGCGCCCTGAAGGCGCAGCAGCGCGATGTGGACGGCGCCACTCTGGCCCGCCTGGACCTGGAGAAGAAGGTGGAGTCGCTGCTCGACGAGCTGGCCTTCGTGCGCCAGGTGCACGACGAGGAGGTGGCCGAGCTCCTGGCCACGCTGCAGGCGTCTTCGCAGGCTGCTGCCGAGGTGGACGTGGCTGTGGCGAAGCCAGACCTGAGTTCGGCGCTCCGGGAGATCCGCGCCCAGTATGAGTCTCTGGCCGCTAAGAACCTGCAGTCGGCCGAGGAGTGGTACAAGTCCAAGTTCGCCAACTTGAACGAGCAGGCGGCGCGCAGCACCGAAGCCATCCGAGCCAGCCGAGAGGAGATCCACGAGTACCGGCGCCAGCTCCAGGCACGCACCATTGAGATCGAGGGCCTGCGCGGGGCCAATGAGTCTCTGGAGAGGCAGATCTTGGAACTGGAGGAGCGGCACAGCGCTGAGGTGGCCGGCTACCAGGTAAGGGCTGCTGCGCTGCATAGGAAACAGTGTCCGGTCCTTCGCCGCGCATAGCTGCACTCCCTGTAAACTGGGGACTCAAGGAAACCAGGAGAGGGAAAGGGAGGAGAGACGAGTGTTGGCAAACCAACAAAAAATCACGGTCCCCTGCATGCAGCCTCAGATGTGAACTGTATGTGCCTGGAAGCTCTGTCAACCCCCTTAATGTCTCCGCACTCTATTTTGGGTGATGGGGGAGTTCTAGGGACCGAACCCAAGTCTTCATGCATATGCTAGACATATGCTGTAACACCGAACTGCAACCAACACCCCCAGACTCTCGTCTGAACTCCCCTAACAAAGAAGTCTTTAATCTTTTCGAGAGTCTGAAACATCTAACCGTGCCTTCCTGTTACCAAGAGTATAAACACACTAGAAGAGCAGTCCCGACCCCTCTGACAAGCCCAGAAGCAGAGGTCACAGCCTCCGAGTGGTTCGGTACCTGATTTGCTTACTTGACTTTGAAAGGACTTTTCTGGGCCTTAGAGTTGATAGAGTATGGTCTGCTCATTACGGTTGGGAACTGGGCTCGTTTTCTTGAGTCTTTTTCTAAAAAGGAGTGAGAGCCGGCATAATTAAGCTAGTGACAACCGCCTTGCCCCACCCTTACCGCCCCTCCCAAACCTGCTGGCGACACTCGCGCGCGCACACACATGCACGCGCGCGATTCCCCTGTCCATCTTGACAGTTCTGGCAGGTCTAAGAAAGCGCTGAGGACGGTGGGGCGCTGTCCGTGGTGCTGACCTCGAGTTCCTCCCACCTCAGAAACGTCTCCTGCTTCATTATGTTTCCAAACTGTCCCAGTTAGGAATCTGTGGGCCTCGAGGCAATTAACTGCTTCAATTTTTTTTAGTTCTATAATACAATCAGTCTTGACTTCCTAAAGTCAAAGTTCATTTTATAGACTGCATCAATTTTCACCTCCATAGATGGCTCAGCACTTAACAAAAATCATTTAATCTGCTCCACAGCTGTGAGGTCCCATTTGAAAGCTCCCATTACCTTAATATTTTTCTAGCTTAAGTGCATGTGGCAAATTACAGAGCTGGTTTCTTTGTTACAGGCGACATTTTTTTCATCTTTCCCTGCTCTATAAGCTCTATGAAGGTCATGATCGGCTTTTTCTTCCCAGCAAAGGCCACTGTGTCCTCAGTTTCACTACACTGGACATTCTAGGATTGTGACCACAAAGGGCACAGATAAAGAAGCTAGAACGAATGACAAATGCAGAAACAAATACAAAATTCCGTGATTTAAATACAAGGGACAACAAGAGCTCCTTTGAATAGAATGTCTATAATTCACAAACTTCACATTATTTTAGCCGGAATTGAATTTAACATTTCATAAAATTAATGTGTTGGGGGACTATTACTAAAAACAGAACCAGGAAGTGGCATAATCTTTCAAAAGTACCATTTTATTCAAAAACTAAAGAATTATTGATTTGCAGGTATTTATTGTCCATTATGAATGACTCCCTTTCATAAAGGGAAAAGGTCTGTTTGAAATGTCTGTTTGATTAGTCTGATATTACACTATTGTTCAAGTAGATATTCCTGTTTTGCTACAAAATCTGTAAGTTGAGCTTTTCAGTATGTGTTCTAGGCCCTGGATGATCCAAATAAATCAATCACACTTAATTAAGATTTCTTCTCTTCCAGAAGCCTCAAATACTGAATTAGGTAGTCTTCTTGACGACTAGCCCAATATTTCTACAATCAGGGTAACTTGCCCCAAATGATCAGCTCAACTGGGCTTTGCTGTGTCCTCCTTTTGCTTGTTCTAAGAGGTGGTGATGATGTTATCTGGCTTATTAGCTCTAAAACACAGGCTTTCTGTGTTAGAAAACAGTAGGGTGGTCCAGTCGTGGTCCAGGAAACAAAGGACAGGAGAACCTGCAGGCTCTGCAGCGCTGTCCCCATCAGCGTTAGCTTTGGGGGCCTCAGTGGACCTGCTGAGGAGTGGAGAGAGAGAGGCCAGACAACACAAAGGTATTTCCTGCCCCTTGGGACCTAATGCTGGGGTGTGGCTCATGGTTTGACCTGCAAACACTAAGCCTGCCTCCCCTGGTTGTTTCCCAACAACCGTAATGCTGGTGGAGGGGGAGAGTCTCCAGCTGTGAAACCATTGTCAACTGGCCCCTTTACCCACCCTCCCCTTTCACTGCAGGAGCAATGGAGGTGTTCTTTCCCTTCTGGTTTAGAGACTCCTTTACAAGCTTTCTGTCCTCTCAGAGACAAGAGAAAATGCCCATTAAAGTCATTTTCCCTGCCCCGGAGAGCTGACAGCCTATTTGAAGACAGAAAGCTTAATATACTTCCAAAAGGACAAAGCGTGATTCAAGGTGACACGGTAAACACACCATAGGGAGAACCAGGGCTGTTGTCATACAGGCCAAAGGCAGCCCTGCTTTGCATAGAACAAGGCCTTCCCTTTCTTTCTGATGGAGAACACTGTCTAGTCCCCACATAGCTGGGGCACTGCCGTTAGACTCGCTGCCCTTACTAAGGCTATGCGGAGGCCACCTCAGAGGGAACCAGCTTTCAGACCTGTGCAGTGAGCGTCTTAGAAAGCCAAAGCCTTCCTTGAAAGACCTTGCTGAGCAGTCAAGATCACTGCTGGTTAATGCTCCCCGGGGAGGTAAGCCAAGGCTACCCTCTCCTCCAATATGAGACTGGAGCCCAGCCTAATTAAATAGCAGACAGGGACTGGCTACATATAAATCTATAGCTTGATAGATCCATTTGTGAAATTAGGATTCAAGCTGGGGGGGCGGGCCCTGCGGGCTCATCTTTTAATGGTCACCCTCCATCTCACCCTGTTAGTGTCACCTGGACCATCACAATAGCGTCTTTACAGGGATAAATTTAAATCAGTGATCTAAACTCTGGGGCGCACCAAGACCAAGGAGCAGCTTTTTAAAAGAGAGATTCTCAGACAACGCCTGAAGAAATGGATTCAGTATTCTTTAGGTAGGGCCAGGAATATGCTTTTTATTCCATTTTGTGAGACAGTGTAGCCTAAACTGGGGTTGAACTTAAAGTCTTCTCTGTAGGCACGCCCTGCCACACCCTACTAGGAATGTGCATTTTTGGAGAAAGTGTTATTTCATTTGTTGTTGGCTCTCAGACTGACTGGAGTGTATCGACCTAAACCACATTTTCTCATAAAATATGACTTTAGAGGGTGCTAGAAGACACGGGTAAAGCAAAGCTAGGAGTAAGAATAAGGATGTGTGGTTCCTGTGGGTGACCACACGTTAACTTCCTCTCTCCCTGTCTAAGTGATTGTGCTCCGCCGCTGTAGTTCTGTATGGCCTGCCCTTGGGTTCACCTGGCCGAGGTCTCCCACCTCCACCCCTAACGTGAGGAAACGGACACACCGTTGTTCCTTTCCTTCACTGCACATGCTTTGTCTTCCTCCCCACCTGCCTCCTCCCAGCCCTGGGCCAGATGCTCAGCTGCTGCCGAGAGCGCCCAGCTGGAGCAGAGAGTGCCTCCCCTCCCCAGTTCTCCAAGCTAAGCCCGCAGCAGCTGCATGGTTGGGGGAGGGGGCAGACTGCAGCACTGCTCACATTTCCTGCTGGAGGCCATCTTTGGAGGCCTTGTGAAGGGCAGCAAGGCAGCCCAGTGCGGGGAGGAGGAGTGTACAGACAAAGAGACCAGAGCTTGGAGAGCCATCAGTGACGGTGGGCAGCAATTCAGTCAACTCCTTCCGGAAGGAGCTGGGTACACTTTTTGTCGTCTCTGGTCCATAAAGTAGCCATGTGAGATATGTAACATACAATTGGAAGAAGCCCTCACTGGTCTAGAACTCAGCTCCCCAGCAGCCTGGTGTTCCAAAAACAGCTGAGAAATAAAAGCAGTTAATAAACAATCAAATTAACCTGCTGATGAGACCAAACATTTACCTCTAAACCACATATTGAGAACTTGGCCCACTGATGCCCTCAGCCTAACAGTTCATGACATGCCTGATTCTCAAAAGAAACAATTCCTTACTTGGGTTTCAAGCCTGCAGAAGGATAAAGATGCGAGACCACTAGAATCAGGCATTGTCAAGAACACTTTTCAGGACATAGAACGGCAGTAAACTGCAACATTAAGACAAACACTGCTCTTTGGAACCATGTAGGGTAGAAATAAACACAACAAATATGTCTAAAAGATAAGACATGAAATTGTAGAAAAATAACATTTTCATTGACCCTTGATTGCTGAGAAAGATTGTATTAGTTTCATGTACTAATAGTAAGTGGTATTTGCCACTTTAAAATGTTTTTATGTAAATTATTATTTTGAGGGATGTTTGAAGGATAGCTCAGCAGGCAAAGGCATTCAGCACCAAGCCTGACAGCCTGAGTTGGTACCCAGACTCCTACAAGTTGATGTCTGATTCCATGTGTCCCAGATGACACATACATACCTACAGACATAAACAAGTCAACAAATAAATAAATGTACAAAAATTCAAATAGTTATTTTTTTAAAAGAGCTGGTGCTTTGAGGAATATGCAGCCATCTATCCAACATTAGATTTTTATTATATATAGGGCTGAAGAGATGGCCCGGTGGTTAAAGAGAGTGTACTGCTCATTTGGAGGACTCAAATTCAGTTCCCAGCACCTACATCAGGTGGCTCCAGAATCTCTTACCCCTGTGGGTACTTAAACTCACACTCACAAACATACAGACATGCAGACACATACATACACAGTCAAGGAAGGATCCATGAAACCTCTGTGTCCCTTGGTAGAAGTTCCCAACCCTCGGCATGCATCTAAACTTCCCAAGGACCTCTAAGGGGGAAAGATGCAAATGCTGAGTCTCTACCCCAGCACAAACGACACAGAATCTAGGCTGGACACATTGCTGTGTAAGTATTCTGCCAGTTCCTTGTGTGATTTTAATGTGTAGTCAGGGTTGTGGAAGTGTCAGTTTTTGCAACTTTGGTCTAAACATTTTGGGTATGTACTTTCCAGGATAGCATTGGGCAGCTGGAGAATGACCTAAGGAACACCAAGAGCGAGATGGCACGCCACCTTCGGGAATACCAGGACTTGCTCAATGTCAAAATGGCCCTTGACATTGAGATAGCAGCTTACAGGTACACAAAAAGGGCATGCTTACCCTAGCAAAGCACATGCTCACCTGGAAGCAGTGTCACTGCACAAATGCTCAATGTGGTCTGTTTCTGACCAGTGAGGGAGGGTGGAAAGAGTGTCACTATCTAGTCCCGGTGAGCTGACCCCTAAGTCCCTTTACCTGAATGTATCCTAGCTTCATCTGGCTAGGCCCAGAGTATTCTGCATACCTCTGTGGGCACTTACAAGGTACTGCAGGCATCTAGAGGTCAAAATGAAAGCCTGTCAGACTCTAAATTGAGAAATAGAGGTTGGGACCTGTCATGGTGGTGCACGCCTTTAATCCTAGCACTGGGGAGGCAGAGGCAGGCTGATTTCTGTGAGTTTGAGGCCAGCCTGGTATACAGAGCAAGTTCCAGGGCAGCCAGGGCTGTTACACAAAGAAACCATATCTTCCAAAACAAAACAAGACAAAAATAGGGGTTGGGGTTAGAGATATAGCTTAGTAGTTAAAAGGACATACTGCTCTTAGAGGACCTGAGTTTGATTCTCAGAACCCGTATCAGGTAGCTCACAACTCCCTGTAACTTACTTCAGAGCAATCTTATGCCTCTGGCCTCCCCAGGCATCTACACTTGCTTACACACACACACACACACACACACACACACACACACACACACACACACACACCTCTATACACAATTAAAAATAGTAAAAATGAATCTTTAAAAATTAAAAATACAGGCAGGCAGTGGTGGTGTAGGCACTTTAATCCCAGAAGCAGGTGGATCTCTGTGAGTTGGAGGCCAACCTGGCCTACAGAGCTAGTTCCAGGACAGCCAGAGCTATAGTAAGGCAAGACAGAAAGGAGTTAAAAGGCCAGCCTCAGCTACATACCAAAGCCAGTCAGGGCTATATAGGACCCTATCTCCAAAAACAAAAGAGCAAACAAGGAAGCAACAACAAAACCTTATTAGAGTAATGAGAAACGATAACAAAGCCACTCTGGTCTGGTACTGTTTAGTCTAGGCTGAGTAGAGTCCCTGAAGTTGTGTCATTTAGTGACTACTGTCATTGCTTGTTCGATTGCCTTCATACATGGAAAAGCGTAAGTCTCAAGTGTGGGTAGACTAGACAGTTTCTGACTCCTCTGTGAACTTCTCACTTCCTTACCCCTTTACAGCTAAGGTGTTAATTAGGGAAATTATTTCTCTCCAGAGCTTTGTAGACTCTAATTGCCAAAAATGGGTGTCTAATGTGGCCAAGGGAGGGTTGTATGTTTCCCTGCAGGAAAACAGTTTGTGGCTGGGATAGGTTTCCTTTGACAATGCTGGAAACAACACGGGTATGGGAGGGGGACAGAGAGAATCCATGCATGTGCATACCAGTGTCTAGCTCCACACAGCATCACTGTCTCAGTCTCATGAAGAAACTGCAGTGTTCTTTGGAGCCTCTGACGTGAAAAAGGACTGGAGACCTAAGTTCTTTAAACAAAGCTGGTAGCCTGAGTCATAATGGCAAGCTTTTCTCTGTTGAACTTACAGGAAACTGCTGGAGGGCGAAGAGACACGATTTAGCACCAGTGGATTGAGCATCTCAGGGCTGAACCCCATTCCCAATCCAAGTTATCTGCTTCCTCCTAGAATCCTTAGTTCTGCAACCCCCAAAGCCTTATCCACTGGGCTGTCACTTAAAAAGGAGGAGGAGGAGGCAGAGGAGGAAGGGGCTCCTAAGGATGCCTCTAAGAAAACATCCAAGATAGGGGAAAGTTTTGAAGAAACACTGGAGGAAACAGTAATATCTACGAAGAAAAGCGAGAAGTCAAATATAGAAGAAACTACCATTTCAAGCCAAAAAATGTAATTCCATTGCTAAAAAAAAAAAAGAGAGGGAATGCCTAAGAGAGAATGCACTTGACTTATTCTACAGCTTACTTCTGAACCACACCACCTGTTGCCGCTATAGAGTGTCTTTAAGGCTTCAATGTCATATTTAGTCTGAATCCTTACTTTCTCCAGTAGGAAAGTCGCCTGTAGATTGGGGGCAAACTGCAGTCCTGAAGCGGTCAGAGGAGTTCTCTAAGAACACAGCTTTCACCCACGTGACAGATGACTCAGGTGCAGAGGAAGGTGCTAATTCTGGTCATCATTCGCTGTGAGCTGAAATTAAAACCTATGTTTATCCACTATACCCCACCAGTACCCAGCTATAGAATCTTACTGTAGATGCCTAAAAACATAAAAATCACTGCCAAGAGCAAACCAGTTGGTCCAGACACCATTACCCTGATAGAGCTGAGTCACAAATGATAGGCGTTTCTCTCGTGGGCACATCACTTCCTCTCCCCTCAATTCCATGCTTCCTTTTCTTACACCCAAGAGGATGGGAAAAAGGCTACTGTAGTATCCCTTCTAAACACACGTAGAACTTACTCCCTTTGGCACTCTTTGCTCAGTGGGTAAGAGTAGATGCATGTTGGCCATTTCTGTGCTTTGTGTAAGGACTCACCCCCGCATTTCATGTCCTTTCACATCTGTAGCTTAAAAAAAGAAAACACTAATAATGGCAGTGATTAATTTTAAGGGTTTTCCTAAAAAAATAAAAAGGATCTCTAGATTTTAGGCTTTCAGCTTGTCCAAATCCACTTAATTAGAGTGAAAAAAACGACCTTGAATGATGTAGCTTTTCACTTTAACTTTAGAAGACAGCGATAGTTATCCTGTGCTGTGATTAAACCAACCTTAGACTTTGTAGCGTAAGTACAGGAGGTGAGTATGTTTCTGAGTGAGAAAGACCAAGGTCTCCTCTGTGTTGGTTTCTGTGTAGTGGTATCGAGTTAGCTTTCTCATACCCGTGCCCTAGAATCTATAGTCCCCCTTCCCATTAGTCTAGGTCCTCAAGAGGCCTTGCTTTTTAAGAATGCTATATATAGGATATTTTATCACCAGACACAAGGCTACTGCCCACAAGTGAAAAAATAAACACTTCTGGTCAATCAACACCACCAGCAAATATTTTAAAAGAAAAAAAATCTCTTTTCTCAGAGTCTCTCCCCAACAGTGCTGCATTGCTTGCTGCAGTTGGTGGGTGTCTCCCCCCCTAAGGAAAGGCAGACACATTCAGAGTTCAAGAGGAGTGTGCACACCCTTTCCCCATCCAAGGAGGCAAGCTGGAAAGTCAGTTCTTCCTGCACCCGACTGCAGCGTCCACGTGTCCTGCTGCCTCGTGTGCCATACCTGACGCAGGATTTGACCTGTCTCTGCTCACTTCTACCAGAGCTATAGAACTGTGTGTCCTGTCCCCACCCACTTATCGCAAGCTGTGCTGCTAAGGACATGATGCTTTTACTGAACTCTCATTCTAGCGCGTGCTTCAGTAGTTCAAGGCACTGAAAAGACACTTTTCTTTCCCTGACCCATCCCCTCCTGACCCCCCACACCCACTGTAAGACATTAGTAATATAGGCCATTAAAGTCATTAATCACACCAGCATGGCTTGTGTTCTGTGGTTTCTATTGGTTCCCTGAGGAAAGCGTCATCTGCTCACAGGCTGCCTGGGCCTGAATACCTTTTTGTCTTTTGATGACTTGCCACTGATCAGCTGAACCCAAGGTGAAAGGACGGTACCTGCATCTTACAAGGTCAGACGATGGTAAACGCCTGTAATGCCAGCACTCAGGCTGAGGTAGGAGAACTGTGCATTTGAGGTCAGCCTAGGCTACATTCTGATACTGTCTCAAAGACAAGAAAAGAGGGCTGGGAGACAGCTTGCTTGGCCAAAGAATTTGCCTTTCAATCATGGGGACCAGAGTTTGATCCCAGAATATTGTTGGCACATGTCTTTAATCCCATCACTTGGGAGGCAGAGGCAGGTGGATCTCTCAGTTTGAGGCCAGCCTGGTCTACAGAGTGATTTCTAGGACAGCAAGGGATACACAGAAAAACCCTATTTCAGAAAAAAAGAAGCAGCAAAGCTAATAAATGACACCAAGTATTGCAATCATTAAAAATATTGCCTAGACAAGTAATGTGCAGCCGGGCGGTGGTGGTGCACGCCTTTAATCCCAGCACTCGGGAGGCAGAGGCAGGCGGATCTCTATGAGTTCAAGGCCAGGCTGAACTGACAGCCTCCAAAACAATACAGAGAAACCCTGCCTCGTAAAACCAAAAAAAAAAAAAAAAGACAAGTAATGTGCACTTGGGGGGCTGAGTCTGGTGGATCCCTAGCTAGCCAGACTAGCTACTTGGTGAGCTTCAAGCCAGTGAGAGACGCTGCCTCAAACAAAAGGGTGGACACTGACAAACAACAGCCAACGTTGTTGCCCGTTGGCCCCAACACACATATACCCATGTGCATATACATGCACACAAACACACCAAAAAATCATCTCATACAAAATGGAGATTTGGCTCAGCTAGCAAAGTGCTTGCTTGCATACATGACAACTTGTGTTAAATCATCTGCCCTAGGGATGGTGTGCATGCCTGTAATCCCAGCACCTGGGAGGGGAAGGCAGGAGGATCCAAAAGTTCAAAATACTCTTCATTACAAAGCAAGTTCAAAACTAGCCTGTAATACGTGAAATCGTGTCTCAAAAACAGCGAAAAAGAGGATCCATGGGCTGGAGAGATGGCTCAGTAGAGCACTGACGATTCTTCCAGAGGACCTGGGTTCAATTTCCAGCACCCACATGGCAGCTCACAGCTATTTGCAGCTCCAGTTCTAGAGGACCCAACACCTTCACACATACATGCAGGCAAAGAACCAATGCATATAAAATAAAAATTATTAAAAAGACATGATCTTATAGATCTGATAAATGGTTAAATCATAACAAAAGGGGGGTGAGAGGTAACCGACCCGTGCAGAGCAGAGAGAGAGAAGATATCAGAGAGAGACAGAGAGACAGAGAGAGATGAGAGTAAGAGAGCGTAAGCAGGCAGGGGTCAGTCCTTTTAAAGGGGTCCTTTGCACCTGCTTGGTTCTCAAAGAACTCTGGGCTGGCCAGAGTGTTGCCTGAGTGCATCCTGCCAGGTAACAGGGCAGGCCAGAGTAATGCCTGAACCTTTCACAAGCTGCTCCATATGCAGACTTCCTCAGCTTCTGCCTTCCTGCAGGGCAATGAGGCAGCAGAAGATCAAAAGTAGCCCATGCTTGCAATTCCAGCCCAGCGTGGTGGCACACGCCTGCAATCCCAGCAGCTGAGAGGTAGAGGCAGGAGGACCAAGACCCCAAGACCATCCTTGGTTACTGTATTTCAGTGAAGAGACACTATGACCAAGGCAACTCTTAAAAAGGAAGTCTTTAATTGAAGGCTTGCTTACAGTTTCAGAGGTTTAACCCATTATCACCACAGTGGGAAGCATGACAGCCTGCAGGCAGAAACGGTGCTGGAGAAGCAGCTGAGAGCTACATCCTAATTCAAACGCTGAGCGAGAGACTCTGAGCTGAGCACGGGCTTTTAAAACCTCAAAGCCCATCCCCAGTGACACACTTCCTCCAGCAAGGCCACACCTCCTAATCCTTCCTAACAGCGCCACTCCCTGGTGACCAAGGATTCAAATCCACGAACCTATGGGGAACATTCTCATTCAAACCCCCACAGCTACATAGCAACTTTGACGTCTGCCTGGGCTACATGAAGCCCCATCTCAACAACAACAACAAAATCCAAAAAAAAAAAAAAAAAAAGCAAGCTTGACTTTAATCTGGGCATGGTGGCATATACTTACAATACCAGCATTTGGGAGGCTGAGGCAGGATGATTTCAAGTTCAAGGTCAGCTTGAGCTACACAGATAAACCTAAACTCAAATTTTTTTTCAACAGCTAGTATTTTATTCAGATAGCAGTTCTCATTACATGTGGTCCAAGAACATTCAAATGAAAAACTCAAGTAAAATCTGATGTCAAAGATCAACCTTCAAACATCACAGCCAATGATGCCGCGTTTGCCTATGATCTCTCCGATATAAAACCACATCCACACCTCAGTGGCCACCAAACCATTCAGCATAGTTCCCTTAACTGTACGCTGTTTGAAGCTACCAGTTTTAGCACTTTGAATTATTTTCCTAATACTCTGAATAGCTGTAGGGAATTCAGCAGGAGTTGGGGGGGAACAGCTCAACCTTGGCGTATTGCCAAAATGTCACTAATTGAGGCTTTGAGTAAATCATGAAAGTGGTTACTAGTGCCGGGGTCTTCTCCTTGGAGTTACAGACAAACTTGGCCATGGTCTAGGGTGGATGGTTCCTTATCTCAATTTTTTTAATTAAAAAAAAAGCAATAATGAGGATAAACCAGGGCTCTGGACCCATTTGACCATGGATTACTTCTTTTTCTACTAAAATGCCAGATAGCTGTGGATGCTATTTCTCTAGTAAAGGGAGGGCAAGCAGAATTTCTTATAGCTTTGAAAAAGGGTTGTCAACCTTCCATCAATGGGCCCGGAATAAAGAAGGATCACAAAACAGACAAGCCTTCAAGGGGTAATAAATCCAGAGCGCTTAAAATCTATTGTACTGCCCTGGCCAAAGCAGATACTGAGAGCTAAGCAATTACCTGGAAGCCAGAGTCCAAATTGGCTCCAAAATTAGTACAAATAGTCATGGGGATAAAGTTCTAGATTTTACCTGTGAGCTCACGAAGAAGGCTGGAACCTTTGCTCCAGGGTTTAAAGGCAAACATGAAGCATTTTTAAAATGTGTTAAGGCCGGGCGTTGGTGGTGCACGCCTTTAATCCCAGCACTTGGGAGGCAGAGGCAGGCGGATCTCTGTGAGTTCGAGGCCAACCTGGTCTACAAGAGCCAGTTCCAGGACAGCCTCCAAAGCCACAGAGAAACCCTGTCTCGAAAAACCAAAAAAATAAAAAAATAAAAAAATAAAATGTGTTAAAAAAAAAAACCACTGGAGCCTTAGGATCAGTGGAAGAGCACTTGTCAAGAGCACAAGGCTCTGAAGAAAGGAAGGGAGGGAGAGAGGGAGGGAGGGAAGGAGGGAGGGAGAGAGGGAGGGAGGGAGAGAAGGGAGGGAGGGAGGGAGGGGGAAGGAGGGAGAGATGGAGGGAGGGAGGGAGGGAGAGAGGGAAGGAGAGATGGAGGAGGAGAGAGGGAGGGAGAGAGGGAAGGAGAGAGGGAGGGAGGGAGAGGGAGGGAGGAGGTCAGTGGGAACTGAGAGTGGCCTGGAGTTTCTAGGATGAGGGAGGGAACAGTGGAGAGTGACTAGTCAGTTAATACAGGTGTCACTTTAGAGGAAAATGTTTTGAAATTAGGGAGGAGGTGGCTGTACACCACTCTAAGCACACCAAATCTGTCTTTTGGGTTTTTTTCTTTTTTCTTTAAATTAGAAATAAGCTTGCTTCACATGTCAATCCCAGCTCCCTCTCCCTCCCCTCTTCCCCCGCCCCCTCACCAGGCCCTTCAGCCCCCGACTCAATCTCCACTCCATTCCCAGCGAGGGTGAGGCCCTCCATGGTGGATCTCCAGAGTCTGTTATTTCGTTCAGGGCAGGGCTTAGGCCCTCCCCCCAAGAGTCCAGGCTGAGAGAGCATCCCTCACTGTGGGATGGGCACTCAAAGTCTATTTGTATGCCAGGGATAAATACTACCCAAGGCACCAGATTGCCTAGGCCTCCTCACTGACACCCACATTCAGGGGGTCTGGATCAGTCCCATGCTGTCCTCACAGCCATCAGTCTGGGGTTCATGAGTTCCCCCTTGTTCAGGTCAGCTGCTTCTGTGGATTAAACCAACCGGCTCAGTCTTGACCCCTTTGCTCATCACTCCTCCCTCTCTGTCACTGAATTCCAGGAGTTCAGTTCAGCATTTAGCTGTGGGTGTCTGCCTCTGCTTCCATCAGTCACTGGATGAGGTTTCTGTTTCCCAGACTCTCTGGCAGTGGGATTGTAGGCTGGCACTGTCTTTTGGGTTTTTAAGACAGGGTCTCCCTATGTAGTACAAGTAGCCTCAAGTTCAGGATCCTCCTGCCTCAACTTCCTAAGTACTGGAAAATTATAGAGACATACCACCACACCAAGCTTCTGAATCATTTACTTTAAGATGAGTGACTTAAGCAAAGCATGGTGGTGCACACCTTTAACCCCAGCACTGGGAGGCAGAGAGACAGATCTCTATGAGTTTGAGGCCAGGCTGGTCATACTGGCTCCAGGTCTGTCTCAAATAAATAGGTAAAATGCTTCATTGCATTTTTGTGTATGGAGGAGGCTGATGTGCACGTGTGTGCATGTGCGGGCCTGAGTGTGGTGTTAGGTGACTTTTTTTTGGTGGCTCTCCCCTTATATATGGAGACGGGCTGCCACTGAACCCAGATCTCATGCTGTGGTTGACCAAACTGGTCAGCTTGCTCCAGGTTCCTGTCTCTGCCTCCTGTGTGCTGATTACAAGCTGGCCATCTTCTGACCCAACTTTTTACTTAGGTTCTGGGGACAGAATCAAGCACCCACAAGCCAACTCCCCAGTCGTAAAAAGA